TAAGTAGTAGTAATAAACGTGTATGTTAAAAAAAAAATGTACTTTGTTTGTGCGTGTGCGTGGTGTGCGTGCGTATGTATGCGTGAGTGTATGTGTATGTCATTATTATAGTTTATAGTTCCAATATCCAAAAAAATTATGTTACCCAGGATTTTTAACAAGTTTATAGGAAGTAGAAAAATTAAAACAGAATTTGTTGAACTATAATTATATGCAATTCACTTTGTGAAAGTTTTCAACTTAGCAGTTTATTATCTAAACAATGATGCTTGATTTGTCGCATTAAATACCACAACAATTAACGCAGTCCTTTCCCTACCACAACATACGACTGTAACGTTAAATAATTTTAAAACGCTTTTTTTATGTCTTCTGTTCCCAGCTGCAACCTGCATTGTCTTTAAATCAGTATTGTATTTATTGCAACAAAAATTAACAGCGATAACAATATAACTCAGAACGCGACTGTACTCTGGAAGCACGCGGCGTGTCGTATCAGTGCGGGGGACGTAATGCGACTGGAGAGCCAATCGGCGCTACGCACGCCCGCCCTTCGTCCCTCTTACCCCAAAAAGTACCTGATTTTTGACTTCTGCGCAGTAACTGTCACCGCTAGAGTTTCGTGCCGCTACTTATACAGTAGTGGGTGGAATTTTGTACCTATATAGACTGTTTGAATCGTTGACAAGTAAAACATCTGAAATACAGGTTACCGTATTTTGCAAAATTTACAGCAAAGACCATTTACGATTGATATCCTAGTTCATTAAACACGTGTTGCAATGTCTGTATAACGTATTTTATGTCTGGTTACCATTATAACATCCTATTTTATATTGACGTAGAAGGTCGAACTCTCACTCACAACTCTGGTCTCACAACAGTCTGGTACACTAATAATAAAATGATAATTCGTTTTATGGAAACAGCCTTATTATTATTTAATTTATTATTATTTAAATACTCTAGCGATAAAGCGACAGTAGTAATCGACTAATACTACTGTCGCTTTATTATATTATTCATTCTAGAATCCATAGAAGGTAAACTACAAAGAGTTATTATACCCTCATTTATTACCTGACCAATAAACACCATCGAGTTAATCGTGATTAACGACGTAATAAATACTAAGAAACTGATAACGTACTACAACTACGCACTCTAGATCTAAAAGGGTAATTCAGGTCCAAGTCTTATTATCCAAGTCAACAGTTTAAGACGCAGGTGTAGTGCTGTAAACATATATAGCTACATAAACACACTTCTTAGTCCCTTTGGGTTAGGCGGAGACAAAAGCCCGCAAATTACTTCTATCGGTACATATCTCACAAGATTCTTCTACAAGTAAAACTTTGATATAAACTCTTTTGTAGACTGTTTTTTGCGGCTGCTTCATGTAGTGAAGTATTGTACAGAAATATGTCAAGGTTTCAGTTTGATGGTGATTTGTTTTGGATGAATGATAATCATTTTCTGTGTCCAATGAAAGAAAGATCAAGCATAACAATACGAACGTAATTATATTAGTTTTTTCAATGACAAACGGATTTTTAAAGTAAAAAAGTGTTTTTATAACTTTTATGATTAGATTGTAACTTTATATTGGTTATTCAATAAATTTACACTGCTATTATCGAATACCATACAGATAAATTACAATAAAAACAATTGTTACAATGCAATAAATATATACTAAATACAATACATTAACTCAAACACCTCACTTTAAAATGTAATCTGCAAGTTCTGCACTAATTATATCTTGTGCATGTAGCAATAATATTCTACAATTATACAATACATGCATATTAGATACTAATTACGCATATTGTTATACTCGTATTGGGGTCTTCCGTCTCTTACATGAAACTAGAAATGAGTCTAAAAATTTAGATTAATGTGTCAAGCTCGGCTCGGCTATCAATTCGGCGGATGACCGAGGAGGCAACGAGTAAATAACGATACTACTGTCTATTTATTGATTTACTATTACTATAGTTATCCGTTATTAAATAGCGTATTTTGTAAGCCACATACCAGTATCCCATCACTCATGTATGTATGTATCTACAGTGTGCTACACATTCCTTTAATGTATTGTAGAACAAAGAAAGATTAGCTTTTAGGAAAACTAATTCACTCCATCCAATTCCATTTCAAATAATCTAATAACTAAACTTTAGTAAAACGATGCGATGACGATTAATCTATGCCTGCTCCGACATTACCCAACTTACACTATCCGTTTCCTTATCATTTTAGAAAGTTACAATAATTACGCATCGCCAATAGTTACTGCTTTTTGTTTTGAATGAACATGTTGCCTTTGTAGGGTAAATGATATGTTGTTAAACGAGCGGCGGGCGCTACTAGTAGTCACATGTGATCTACCACTTGACGGCCAGCTCTATAGTAGGGGAGCCCTAGAAGGGATTTCGGGATTTACTCGAGCGTGGCAGATTAACATAGGAGGAATACCTTACACCCAGTTGAGTACCTCCACCATACATGAGCCCTGCATATAGCGGGGATCGTCTAGGGCAGCCCATCAGATTAGTAAAAAAAAAATCAATGGCCAGAAATACTCGAGCGTGTAATATTAAGGTAAGTTGTGTCAATTACATGAACATTAGTGTGTATTTAAAAAATCAGATGATTTGAGCTTAATATGAAGCAAAGCTAAAAATAAACAATGCAAGAAATCTCTTTAAATGTCTACATAATTTTTTGTGCCTTTATTTGTCACATTTTATAAAAAAATCAAAGATTCAAAATATTTCAAACCGTCAGATTTAAAATACCCTGCAAAATTATCGTCAGATGACACGAACATCAAAGATTTCTTATAATGATACTTAATGGTCGCTATAAAATGTTGTTAGTAAACTAATTAGGTAGGTGACAATTAGATGTTACAACTTTTTACGGTGGAGAAACTACATGGAAAAATTACATTTTTTACATGTTATGCTTTTGATGAGATAACATCAACGCTCCGTTGTCGTCGTCAAGAACCGTTGTCGTAAACTAATGTAACAAGAGTCAATTACACTGAAGACTAATTTAACTATAAATTATAATGTATTATATAATTATAATATAAATAATTATGTATAAATTTTAGATAAAAAAAAGGAAACTCGAATTAAACTAATATGAATATACGGACTCGTGAAGCACACAACTCGAGGTGGAAAAACTCACCCTGCTGCAGACAGTCCAGACTGGTACTGACTGAAGTCATACCACGACTCACCTGCAGACCTGATCAGCCTTAACAGACTAAAAATACGAATAGTTGTAGGAACTATAAGAGGACAACTAGCCCGGAACCGACAACTATTCACCATTATTGCGACGGATAGTCTTCTTTGCAGAGGATGTCTGTAAGCAGACGAAACGGCCGCCCACGTAATGCTGGAATGCGAGGGAGTGGCCACACAACGGGCAAGTATCATTCCTGATACTGAATCGCTCTTAGAAGCCTTTGTTCATAATATCTTACAGCTACATCTAGTGTATTTTTACCTTAGTATTATGTTCAGTAGGTAACGTGCTTTCTTAGGAGATACAGCAATTAGGTGGTAGATGGCAGCACTGATTTTATAAAGTACTGTGAATTGTAAAGTACTACCCGAATACAGATGGCTCTGATAACTGTAAGATTATACAGAGTAAAACTCGTTTTTGAGCTCGTAATTTGTATGATAGAAAAGGTGTTTTGAAATTTAAATATACAAAGCTTTTCTTAATTACTAAGTAGTTGTTCTTTACTGATCTGATGACTGATCAAAATTTAAATAATAATGACTGTGTTCTTTACTGCGTCAAAATATGAACCTATTTCTTATTTAATATTAGTCTTATTTTATAATATATGTGCTTAAAAATGAACAATAATACTTACCATTATCGGATTGTCAAGCTGTTGAAACCATTTACGGTAGGCGCAAAATACATCCAATATATTGTTTTTTTTTTTTGCGGTTTAGGAAAACTCAGTCTATATCAATAATAAATAATGAAACAGTAGCAAAAAATCAAACACTAATAAATAATTTCAGCAATTAGATAACATTAGAAATTAGAAATTTCAGAACATCATATTTTGCAAGCGATTTTTGTGTGGTTGCTTTTTTTCTTTCTACGAGTAGTCTTATTACTTACTGTTATAATTTTACTAGTAACCTCTATCAGTTATATTTTATATCTTGTACCTATTATCTAATTATCTTTTTAGTCAACCGAATTTAGTCTGTACACATAAGCAACCAACCTTTGAATTTTGTGCGCCTTTAACGTTTTTTTTCAGGGCTCATCAACAGTCTTTAACAGTCCACTGCTGGACATAGACCTTTTCCTTAGAAAGGAGGTTTAGGCCTACTATACCTCGCTAGCCAGACGGATTGGTATAGGGTTTGTGTCAAGTTTTTCTTCTCTTTGCAGTGTTGTTGTCCTGCGAAGTTTGCTCCCTTAGTCGGCTCTTATGACACCCACGGGATGAATGGGGGTCGGGACAATTCGTATTCTTAATCCGTTATTTAAACATATCGTTCAAACCTTACAATTTATACAACTTTTAATATTATTTTATTAGTATAAATTATGAGTTCCAAAACTATAGTTAAGAGTAAGGGAAAATGTTTGACACACAGCTAAACTTAAGAGAACTATAATAATAATAATACTGTCTTAATGTCCACTATTATCTTCTTTTAATTCATTATTTTATTAAAGATTTTTTTATGTTAATGGGAATAATTTAATGAAACAAAAATTTTATTCATTTATTTATTGTAAATCATACCGGTGACAGGCATTCTTTTTACGATTACTTATGCACGAAAAGTAAAATAATTACATAATAAACTATCTTAGTCGTAAGTATTTACATTCTTATAATCAATTATAAAATTAATTATAATGAAATCAATTTTACCGATTATAATACACCAACACTTTTATTCATGACTATTTGAAATTCATTCTGAACACTGTCATAATACAAGCCAGTCCTCTTTAATCATATCTGATGCCTTCTCAGCAATCATAATTACAGGAGCGTTGGGATTGCCACTTACAATTGTGGGCATTATGCTTGCGTCAACCACTCTAAGATTAGCAACACCATGCACACGCAATCTTGGATCTACTACAGCATTCTGATCATGCTTTGGACCCATCTTACACGTACCAGTGGGATGGTAAATCGTGAAAGTAAAGTGCTTCAAGCTACACTCCCAATATTCGTCACTAAACAATACATGATGCTGACATCCTGGCAGAGGAATATTGTGAGGCCGAGATCCATATCTCTGGAATGCTGTCGTGTTTGACAAAGCAAATGCGATTTTTATTCCTTCCGTCAGAACTTGTATATCTTCTTTGTATGCAAAATAATTAGGCTCAATGGAAGGTGCCTGGAAAGGATTACGACTCTTCAATTTAATCCAACCAGAACTCTTAGGCCGTAATAGCAAGGGCAATATGGTCCAGGTTTCACCATCTTCTATCGGCTTGTATACAGTATTATACACCCTATCACGTAAGTTCAATATTTTCCTTATCTGTTCTCCTCCGTCTGAGTTAACTGAACTAGGTGCGAAATGGAACTGTATGTCCGGCCAGTTTCCTGAAGTGGGTGCATATTTAGTATTGACGAAGGCAAGGCCTTCTACGCCTTGTGACGTCATAGGCCCTTTTTCATACAATATGTAGTTCATAGCTACTTGGAATGTTTGAAAACGATCTTTTTTGAATGTCACTGGTTTGTTAACTACAAAAGTCAAACCACCAAGACCAACATGATCCTGTAGATTGTGTCCTACTTTTAAATTGGCTACTAGAGGAATATCATGTTCCCTTAGGTGATCTGCGGGACCTATGCCACTTAACATCATTATCTTAGGTGTTGCTAAGGCTCCAGCCGACATTATGACCTCTCTTTTAATTCTAACTTTGTGTCTTTGACCATGTCGGTAAAATTCTACTCCGTATGCTTGTTTCTTAACTGTATTGATGAGGATCCGTGTAACTTGAGCACCTAAAGCAATGTGTAAATTACTTCTCTGTCGGACAGGTCTAAGGAATGCCTTGGCTGTACTACAGCGGCTTCCCCGCCTCATTGTTGCTTGGGTCAACATAAAGCCAGTTTGCATCGCACCGTTTATGTCACGGTTCTCGTAACCTAATTCCATGCCACCTTTTAAAAAAGTGACAGATAACGGTGTACGCCAAGGTGCTTCTTGAACTGTAAGATAACCACCAGCTGCATGATAAGGTGTATTTACTAAATACGGGTTCCGATTGTCTTCTGATTTGAGAAAGTATGGTAAAACCTGATCGTAGGACCAACCCGGATTACCGAGAGCTTCCCATAAGTCGTAGTCGTTGCGATTGCCCCTTACGTAAACCATGGCATTGAGTACACTACAGCCGCCCAGTACCTTCCCTCTGGGCCAGTTGCAGCGATCACCGTTCATAGCGAGGCAGTAGGAGCGGTTGTTAGAGGGTGTAGTCTGGAACTTCCAGTCAATATCTGAAAGCTGCGTATAGCCCGCGAGAGCTGGGATGTCTGATATCTCCGTTTCATCCTGACCGGCTTCCAGCAACAAGACTGTCCAGTTACCGATCTCGGATAGCCGCGATGCCACCACTGCTCCAGCGGAACCTCCGCCGACTATCACAAAATCGTAGATTGGCAATACCTGGAACGGTAAAAAAACATACATTAGTATCTTTCAGATAAATGTGAGTTATTACGATATATGTATACGAGAATAGACTTCATAATTTTCTCTTTAGTAGAGCGCTCGGATATGTTAACCTCGGACTTTAGTAATAATTTATATCTTCGAAGTGGGTTTTTATTACATATATTTTATTTAACCTAAAAACTATTATAACTTTATATGAATGCACGTAAGTGCATTCATATACTAACTACTGTAATGCATTTAAACTCGTCTCACGTAAACACTCAGAAAATAACATACTCGTGAACATAAAGATAGAAAATAATACTATAGAAGAAGCTGACAGTATAAAATTTTTAGGTGTAACTCTGGATAGATTTTGTAACTGGAGACAACACATAAATGGTGTTTGCCTCAAACTAAGTAGATTTGTCTACGCCCTTAGAAAGCTTCGTACCCTGTCTGATGAAAAGACTGCAGGTGTAGCTTATAAAGGTTACGTAGATTCAATCCTTAGATATGGGTTAATAATATGGGGGAATTCGACTGATGTTGATCAAGCCTTTATTGCCCAAAAGAAATGTTTAAGAGCTGTTTGTGGAGTGAGTCCACTTGACTCTTGTAAACCGTTGTTTATAATTTGCTTGACTTGCATGTATGTTCTTAAAGTATCAATCTTAGTTAGGAAATATAACAATTTCTTTAAATTCAAGAGGGATCATGTTACTAAATACAGACCAAGAGATCCTACGAAAATAATGATTCCATTTTGTAGAACATCTTTGATGAAAAATAATGTGTATCACATGTGCATTTCAGTTTTCAAGAGCCTAAGGGAACTTCCATTTAAATATTTTAAAATTAAGATAAGAAAATGGCTAGTTGATAAATGCTTTTATACAATGAAAGAGTTCATCCAATATAAACTGATGTATATGATCATATTTTGTAGATTTAATAAATTAGATAAATTAAATTTAATAATTTCTAAATATGTAATAACATTTTTTTTTTGATATTTTGTTAATTTTATTAGTGAATAGTTATTAATAGTTAATGTTTGAGTCTCTATATAAATATTTGCATGCCTAGTACAGGCAGAATATAGCTTGTACACACCTTTTGTATACACCTTTTGTAAAATCTGGTACCACCTGCATTCTGTGCAAATAAATGTTTCTTTCTTTCTTTCTTCTTTCTTTCAAATACGTTTTAATATACCTGAGTGATTGACAGCTGGAGATAATAAATATAAAAGACAGCTGTAATGTAAGTAAACAATTTTTTTTGCTAGTTTTGTTTTAAAAATAGGTGAAAAATGTTACTCTGTGTAATTCAGTGATTTTATAAAAAGATATGTTACATCTTATCAAATTTAATCTCAAATTTATCAATTTAATTTAAGTACATAAGATTTTATTTTATTTTACGTTTAAATAATAATATATATCTATAATAATATAATTAATAAATATATGCGATCTACTTACAAGATTATGACAATGGTTATTTCTATAAATTTTTAATGTATTCATAATTTACAACCCTTAAATGGTTTACATGTTCAATTTTTTAATATCATTCAATTTAACTGAAATCCGAGGTTATCATGTTTTAAATCCTGTATACCCTATTACTTAACTATAGCTAATATTACTCAAATGTTGGAGACTTATCAGTTATTAAAATATTCGGTCCAATACAGGTACAATTTAATATTTAAATGTTAAATATATGTTTTAGCCTATAGTGTAAGTTAATTGCTGAAGTAAAGTCCCTGTAAGTTATTGTCTGTGTAAAAAAATCAATCTCTCTGAAAATACAAAACAAAATATATTAATTGGACTTGAATGTTGTGTTATACACAATTTTTAAACTTCATTACGTGCTGAAAAAGTTAAAAATGCTATCTACAATAATTATTAACAACATTCTTGCCAGACTGCTACTCAAATTACACTAGTATTTTTGCTCTGCTGTCTAATCCTGTTTTAATCCATTGTATGGCTACATTTTTAACAACTGTCATCTCTCAGATTTGTACTTCGATAACTTGCATTCTGCATCATACATATGATAAATGGAGATACCTGAGTGTGCTATAATAATGCTTCGTAATAACACGCATTAACCGTAAGCAAAGAGCAATTTCACATGCACGAAAGAGGCTTACTTTCATATTTATATTACATCTATGTTATAAACTTTTACCATAGTTCTCACGATGGCTGTTCGCATAAATAACGCATGCGTTACGGTACTTACAGCATTGACTTCGGTAATGAAAGACTCCGGGTCGAATTGCTGGTATCTGAAGTACGTGATCCCGAGTGCCAGGAGTGGTATCAGACCCAATACGGTAATGGGTGACGGTGCCAAGCTGGCCAACGCTCCTGCCGCCTCCATGTTTACCTGTGCAACTCATTTACCGTTATCCTAATATATACAACTTATCCTAGTAGTCTTAGCTCTCTTATATGCAACTTTGTCGTTTTCTTTGATCTTCCGCTGAAAGAATTTTTGGCGTATAATTTCTTATACCGGGCTTTTTTGTAGGAGTTGCTAAAGATTTTTCTGTTTCGCTAAGATAACTTTTAAGGCGCGCGCTCTTCAGTTCCTCTTTATCATTGTCGAACTGCTGAAGAGTGTTGTAACGTTTTTCTTTGTGCAGTTTAACAGGTTTATAGAGTTCCTTGTTGACTTCTCTGTAGTGTTCGTTTTTATACAGGGAGGTGCAGTAGTAGTCACATGTAGAGGATCTATCTGAGCGATATTCGTACGCACTGGATCCGCTGCGATAGCCGCTGCTTTCGGTTGAAGAGTTGTCGCTTTTGAAGCTGTCGGCACTTCGTCTTGCTCTCCTCTTGTAGTTTTTTTCTTCGTAGTCGTTGGCTCGGTAACCGACGGGAGAGCTTCGGTACTGTAACGGCTCGTCGTACCTCTCCTTGTACCGCCTCACTTGAGTGACGCCGGCATGCGTGTACGACTGTTCTTGGCCCATTGTGTGATTCGCGATCGATCTCTCGTTCTCTGAGTTCTGAAACGATAAAAAAGTAGTGTTTAAAAGTAGCATATATTTTTATTTATATTGATACTAATGTTTGTTTTATCATTACAGGTAATGGAAATGCACTTGGTCAGCTGTGGTATGTAAACATTTAAACAGATATGTGTGATTTTATACTATATTACATGTAAATTGTTAAATTATAGTTAAAAATATTGTCTGTGTTAGATTTCTGAAAACCGTTTTGAGTATTGATTTAATTTCTGTGTATAAAGTGAAGTAATAAGATGACGTAAATTAATAACTCTAATTTTGTTAAACACATACATACTTATAATAATAAAACATAATGTGATATACTTATTCATTATATCACAAGATGTAATTACAATGGTATGGCATTCACAATGCCATACCACATCACAAAACAATGCTTTAATGTGGTTTAAATAACGAGTAGGTATAGTACATATTTAAGTTTTAAAAGATTGAAATGTCGAATAACGAATCCTGAAAAACTATTTTTCTTTTGATTTAGCAAGAAATAGTGTTAAACGTATAAAATTTATACAAGACAATCATAATAATAATCATCCAACACCTTTTATTATAAAGTTAAAATCTGTTTATTAATGACGGAGTTATGAGGTAACAGTCTAAAATCGAAACAGCTGAATTGAGTTATACTATTGTTACCGAAAAGGTTTTATCGTAAAAATACTTTCAATCTATATAAAGGCCAAAAACAGCGTCAGATATTTGTCCCACAAGTCTGCGATAGTTGACTTGTGAGCGAGTGGAGTGGAATCATAAAGATTCATATCCATATTCATCATTCGCTGTTCAGTCGAGTCAGTTATGACGCTCCTGATGTCAATTGTTGTACCGCTGTGCTAGGAATATAAGCATGAAACAAATGCTACCGCGAATTAAAATCGATACGCGCCATCTTTCGGTGCGGCAAACAATGTCGCTGACGTCATTGTCCTTGGTACCGTTACTGATAATAAAATAGCAGTCAGATAAGCACTTAAACCAACAGGTTGATTTAGTTAAAAAAATAATTTTAAAATGAGTGTGTCAGTAGAGCAGCCACGCAAATTAAGAATGGGGCCGGTCGTCGAATTTAAACTCGAGAGAAATCTTAACAGGTTTTTACCGATGCAACTCGCGTTTTAATCATAGATAAAGCCCAAATTATAACATTGCTTTAGAAATTCTAAACCTTGTAAAGCTTTTTAGATTTTTATTTTTAATAACTTTGTCCTCTCAAGGTATATTCGGTAGTTAACTCAAATATACACAAATATTGCGTAGGTAGGTAAAATATACACTTCACAACACCTAGTTTGCATTTCGCAATTAAGTAAACAATTTTGGACTGCAAACTATGTCTATCTTAAATATGACCTCAGAATAATATACCATTAAAATTCTAAAAGCACTTTTCTGCCCTGCGCATCATTGCACTATAAATATGTTCAGGTTTAAAATTTAAAGTTTTAGAATTCATTAATTAATGATAATTCCTTCGTAGGTTTTTTATTTAAGATTCACCAATTCTCTTAAACACTTTTGTGTAATAGTGGTTTATTAAGTCTATATTCAAAAAGTTGGCAATTATGTATGTTACTTATTAATTTTAAAGTTAAAACTATTTTGTTGACTGTTCAGTGAATTAATTTTACTTTTGAAATGTTGAAATTACATAACAGCAAATTCATTAATCATATAATATAATCTTCGTGGTTTTACCTATTAGATGGTAAACTTTCTTTGTTGAATTCCCTGCGGTTTGCATATCGGTGTGAACAATTGAATGACTTTCACTCACAATTTTATAGATATTTATTTCAATTTCATAGCTGCACGTTTTCTGCTCGCGTGTAGTTAATAGATAAATATTTTTATAGACACCATGTTTTTAAGAGACTATTAAAAATTAGTCTGTTCCTCTTAACGTGCACAAAAAGGACTATTGTATCTGTATAATAGAACTATTATAGAAACTAAAAACCTAATTTTAATGAACTAATAAGCAATCGCTTTCTTATTGAAATAAGTATGAAATTTAAAAATGAAATCCATAAGTTTTTTGTAACTTTTAATTATTATTTTTATACTTAGGTTCTTCACAGCTGACAATTTTTTTTGTTTGTTATAAAAAAAGACAACTCCTGCATTAGGAGGTTATCCTATGTCGCGGAGGACTTTACAAACATACATGAAACGGACACAAAGAACACCCAGACTAAGAACAACAATTTGTGGATCACACAAAGTGTCGTCCCATGTGGGGATCGAACTCACAACACTCAGCGTAGTAGGAAGCGGCGTGGCGACCGCTTAAGCCACTACGCCATCCGTGCAGTCAAATATATAATATAGTTAACATAGTAACAGTCGAACAATACGCCAATTACGAAGTACACATTAAGTAAAGGTGAATATAGTGCAGCTTAAATATAGCTACACAGATTTTTTTTTTTTTTTTTTGACAAAAAACGGTATAGTACTTTATAAATATTGATTAAGTCCTTATTTATATATCACACACAAAAAACAGAGTACCTCTTAAAGAGTTTAAAACTATAACAGACGCAACAAACCTTGAAGTTTACAGAAACTTAGTTCAATGTTTACGTGGTAATACTAAGAGTTTGTAATATGATCACCATAGACTATCCGTCACGGAAGCATTACCTCTAAAAGTGATCCGACACAACGGAGCTAACAACCATGAAGAAGACACATTTGTTCATACTGTTCAGTCAACAAACACGTGTGCAAATAGAGACAAGCAATGCCAAAGGATTTAGAACCCTATTCCTGTAAGTTAGAATCGACAATTTTTTTGTCATTAGGATTGTATTCTTCTGCATTCGAGTTTCAAAGATGCAAATTGATGTATCATTGTTGTCAAGAATCAATTGCCCGTAAACTTTTAAACAAATGTCTTTTATTCTTTACAAATACAGTTTACATGTATACGTATAAAAGATTTAAAACGTTAAAGTGGTGATTGGTGAAGCTTCTTTTCGTAATCGTCAAATTGTAAACCTTTTTATCCATAATGGACATTTTTTACAATAAACGTAAAAAAGTATTAGTCGGAAGTAAATATTTGGTCACGAGTACTGATTAATGGGGAATTATGCTATGGTTGTAATCAATTATAAAACGGAAATAAAAATAAATTCAAAATTGCAAAGGCGCTAAAGCGTCTTAAATTTCATTTTTGTTATCTTTACTTAAACACATTATTTCAATATTAAATATAGTTTTATAGATCCAGCTCCCCCATGCTTTACAACAGGTATTCGAGACATCCAAGACTGACATTGACTGTTAACAAACTTAATAAAAGTACCAAATAAAATGCGTATGTTAGGTAATAAATTTTGAGAAATGACTAATTAACATTAACTAAATTTATTTATTAATAAATTTACAAAATAAGGTACATAATGTACAGCAATGCTTACCGAAAGCAGAAAACGCGGTGTGTTGACGCAGAAGTATAATGACGTTTGATGCGTTACATCTTGCAGTATTTTTATTACAGTTATGTGTACGATATAATAATTATTCACTTGGATGTTCATAACTCACCGGCACCTAAGTTATTAGAGCACAGCACTACGTAGTTAATTTTTGAATTGCACCTTTCAATTATTTCTGTATTATGGTAAAGAATTATTTTAGTAATTTCTGGATAAAAGAATAAAAGTATACGAAACTATAGTATCTATACTATCTACTGTAATTTTCTCTAAAGTGAGCTTTAAAATTTAGTTTTAGTAGTTGTAACTTTACGAGAACAACTTTACTGCGGGGCGAATTGGCGTATTTGGCAATATTTATCCTAGAAAGTTCTGCCTTAGTTGTATAATTAACGGTAGTCATAGATTAAATAGCCACAGCCACACCATATCTAAATAAGGAGAAGACTGTGTGACTGGATCTCAAGAGACAGTAACTGTATAGAACTGTATAGATATAGTTCTAGCACGCACATTCTTTCTTATTAATTTTAATAGAGAGACCAGTTAGCGTGTTTAGCTAAATAAATAAAACTAAAATAGTTGCAACTTGAAATATTATTCACCTAAGAATTAGTAAGCACAAGTTAAATTTTAATACTAAAAAGGGATTCATCCAAATAATAAAAACCTTCAAAGTAAATAATAAAGTCTTTCAAATATTCGGAGAATAAATTCATGACAATCTACATTGGACACGATGGAGTAAGTTAAGATAGACTTTGAATTCTGTTATTTCCTCTTGGATCTGCTATTTACATGTTCTTCAATTGTACGAGTATTCTCATAGTCTCTCGGATTAATCTTACGGTCTATAAATATGTAGAATACTGCCAATTTACATCTGTTAAGCTGAGAAGTAATTTAATTTTATTATTTTTTTTATGTTAGAGGGGACAGACGAGCAGACGAGTCACCTAATGGAAAGTGACCATCGCCGCCCATGAACGTCTGCAACTCAGGAGTCACAAACGTGTTGCCGGCCTTTTAGGAATGGGCACGCTCTTTTCTGGAAGGTTTGAAGGTCGTATCGGTTTGGAAATACGGCAGACCATTTCGTTTTTTCTACTTTAATGTCGAATACATGAACATTTAAATTTAAAATATGTTAGCCTAGCTTGAACACCAAAAAAAATACAATTTTGTAAAACTAAAAAGACTGGGGTTTGCTAACGTAATTAAAAATGGAAAAAGAGTTCATCAAATAAACCGTCTTGAAGGAGAAAGGAAAGTGTTTATTATGTTATATTACCAATTACTTCAAAAGCATTAATGAAAGATGGTTTGTGCTTATGGTTGCTTAGGTTGTATGTTATGTAAAATACCGTGAGAGGAAGTTGCGCGTGAATTTCCGCATAAATTGCGCGTAACAGTTAGTTACTCTTTGTGCTTTTACTTGACATTCAGATTCTGTTACAATAATAGGGTAAAAAACTTTTGAGAGTTGTATTTATATTTCTAAATGTTGACCTGACAGACATATTTTCG